GTAGATGAATATGGCCGCAAGTTTGCAAGACGTTAAACAAACCCATTAGATGAGAGCTCAGATAAGCGGCCTGAAGCCAACAGCTGAGCCTGAGAGGAATTAAAAAGCCATCAGTGCTAAAACGCAAAAGTCCCGCAGTTTCCCGTGGAGACTTCTCGCTTTGAACGCAGACCTCTGTTGATGTTTCCTTTTCATCTGGCACTGGTGGCTGTGGGACATGGGTTTTTCTGGCCACTGGCTCGCTAGGGGCTGCATCAGTCTTCACTTACGGTGCGTTTGCCATATCACATTACCCCTCGCCGGAACTGTCAACAGCCCCACACGGCACAATCCCAGGACTCGGCTCCGCGCTCGATGCTGGCGTGAGGGCTCGCTCTGTTCTCCTGCGCGTTCCCACTGAAGTGTTTTTGGAAGCCTTCCCAGATTGTCAAAGGCAAGATAAAAGCTCCTGCAAGGTTTGTATTGTTGGAATGTGTTGTTGTTGCTGGTGTCATTTTCGAATAATGCATAACAAAAATAAAACTCTTATATATATGTTTATATGAATAAAAAAAGGTTGGTAACAAGACTCATAGTTGAAAAAAATATTCTATCACATATTCACTGAACTTTGGGTGGATCGGGCTGCATGCACATTCCCATAAATATGCAGGTCTCAGCAGGGTTTAAGAATCACTTTGCCTCTTGCGTGCAGATCACAGCACCTGTTCAAATTCACCAGAGCTGCCCCTTTTTGATCTCCATTATCCATAGCCAAGGCCCTAAGCCAGCGGCTACAGACGATGCTTCTGAAGTTTAGTTCCCGAGACTGGGCCATCACGGCGCATCGCGGTGCTGCCAATGACTGGCGAGCCGGCTGGTCAGAAGACACTGGACACCGGACACCTGCTGAATGGCTCAGTGGCAAAACAAACAAATAATCACACACCAGCGAGGAGCCAGACCAGGTTCCTACCAGGAAGGCACAACACCTTTGAGTGTGTGAGGGTGGAACCGATATTTTTTTTAACGTTCGAATCAAGTGTTTTCGTTAAAACACTACTTTCGTTCATACTCATCTCCCACAACTACCTCCAGAACTTCATGTTCACTTCAAGCCACTATCTCAAAGCTGACACAAAGGACTGTACTGTCTCGGTCCCTGAGTGCGGTTGTAATTTAGTTAAATACCTTGAGAGCCCCCGTCTAAATCTAGTGGGGGTTACGCTCGGCTTTGGCACGAGGGCGCAGGATGTTGCCAAGTCTGGGGGGTGGCACATCCAAGGCCCCTGCAGGCAGATGGAGCCAAGGCTGCGCAGATGGACCCTTGGGGACTCGCAACGCATCTTCAGGACACACAGCTCTCTCCGCCAGGTGCGCAAGGCTCTGCGCGGCTCCGCGCGGCTCCACTCACAGGACGGAAGAAGGGGGAGGGGGGGGGACAGCTACCCTCGCTACGTCAGGCGAGAGGGAAGTCATCCCAGCAAGCGCTGGACCAAGCTGCTTCGCCATCATCGCTGTGCCTACACTTCCTTGGGCAGCCCCGGAGCAGGAGCTTTTTGAGAAAATGTGTGGCCAATTCTCGTGACAATAACATACGGTCCTGCCTCTAGCCCGGCTGCACAAAGCGTTCCACCACACACCAATCTTATTGTTTGTGACCAGATGCTTTAAACATGCCTCTAACTTTAACAAACTCAACCCTGTAGCCAAAATAAAATTGATATATATTAAAAACGCCAGATGTGTATAATTATTTTCTATTACTGGAAACATTTGTGTTCCAGAACGTCTACAGTTTATTCTTTATTTTTGTTCAGTCCTTTTAAAGCCAAGTTTACAAACCATAAGACTGAATCTCTGGCAAGCGGACTGCAATATCTGTTTGAAGAAAGGAATTCTTCAAGTCAATTTTATATAATCAGCAGAGAGATAATCATATATGGGTCTTTATCCGAGTATGAAGAAACTACTAAATATATTATTTCCAACCGACAATGTGTCCCTTCCAGAGAAAAGATCATAAAGCTCCAGAGACAGTTTCCATAGTACAAACTTCCCGACCGCTTGTATCTCTGCCAAGCCTCTCTTACCCTTAGCACTCAGGAAGCACGGGCCATGACCACCACCTTGGCAGACGGACATATCGACAAACAGATGGACGGACACATGGATGGGTTGCTGGGTAGCTGGATGGATGGGTGGACAAACAGGCAGACAGACAAGCAGGCCGAGAGTCGTACGGGTGGACACGTAGGCAGAAAGGACCCGAGCTAAATGAGCTAAATGCGTGTGCCCATGGGCAGTGAGACTGTGGCAGGAGACACTGATCTCCCACCACTCGCGAGGGAAGCTTTTGATTTTGTTTAGAACTCAGGAAACACTCTGCTCTTCCGGTGGGAGAACGAAAAAGGATAGCCAAGTGAGACGTGGAGGGTGCATCCAAGCGAAAAATGGTAGTGTTTTGAAAAATAAGAGGGCTCAAAAGAGACGCCCGGTGACAGGGCTTGTTAGGTGACAAATAGGCTCTGGCCTCAGTCACGTGGGGTGTGTTTATTTCACCATCTTTTGATTTCAGTTGACATTTTGTTTTCAACTTGGTTTAAATTTTATTTGTACTAATACTGCAAAACCCAAAAAGAATATATACTACGTTTAAAAAGTAAAATATTTAAATGACGGCATAAGGGGATAAAACATTTTCATACTACAGCAGAAAACTGTAATAGAAACAACTTCCGTGTCAGAATATTTGTCAAATGTATTCTATTTATTCTTTGGTTCTTTCGGTAAAGTCACGTAGAAAGAAAATAAATTAAATAATAGAATACGACGTTTCGATTGCAACACAAGCAATCGTCATCAGGTAGAAAACAAACCTAGTGAACTTAGAAATACAATACAATACAACACAGAGAGTCGGCTAACACAACAGTCAGCACCTTACCTGGTTGATTAGGTTCTTCAAAAGATTGCTAAATTTGAGAGAGAGACAAAACAATTAGCTAAGTTTGTTTTCTCAAACTGCGTATTTCTCTCTAAAATTTACTAGGCTTTCATAGGTCCATTCACGCTTTTTCTCCCCCGGCCGCTTTGGGGTGGATTTCCACACAACTCTCTCTAAAATTGATCATGCTTGTTGGGTCTTTCTCTTCCCTGGCCGCAGCGAGGTGGATTTCCACACAGCTCTCTCATTGACATGCTCATTTCTCTGCTCCAACAGACCCACCTCTCTCTCTGCCCCACCCCCCTCTCTCTCTCTATTTGAGGCGTTGGGTCTCTGTGTGTCTATGTTGTGTGTCTTTCTCTGTGCATCTCTGTGTTGTCTCTCTCTGCTTGTGTGTCTGTCTGTGTGTCCCCGTGTCTGTGTTTTGTCTCTCTCTGAAATTTAGCTATCTTTGGAAGAATGTAATCAACTAGTTAAGGTGCTGACTGTTGTATTAGCCGACTCTCTATGTTGGATTGCATTGTATTTTTAAGTTCACTAGGTTTGTTTTATACCTGATGACGATTGCTTGTGTTGCAATCGAAACGTCGTATTCTATTATTGAATTTATTTTCTTTCTACGGGACTTTACCGAAAGAACCAAAAAGTAATTCCTGCAGTCACGAAAGCTTCAAATCAAGTTTGTATTCCATTTAGTTTTACTCATGACACAACAGAGATTAATCCTGAGGTAATACGAACCCCTTCAAATGGAAAACAAATACATTGTAATAACATTTCACAATTATACTCTCGTTAAACCAAAAGCACGACAAATTATGTGAGCAGCATATTAACAGTAACGAAAAACCAACAATAATGGTAATAATTCAGAATTATCATCACTGGCGATATACTCTTACCAATGATGTGCTGGTGAAAACTTATTTTCCATCAATTAGTGGCATAGAAGCCACTACACCCCCTATATTTAGTGGAAACTACCTTTCTGCTCGTAATATCATCCTTACTTTTCGATTTGCCGTGATTAGAAGCAATGGATAAACAACGGGGTTGATTTGTCTTCGTCATCATTAGCCACCGTATAGCCACTGCTGGATGAAGGCCTCCTCCCCATGCCGTCGCCATTCCTGGGGGCTCAGTGTTGTTGCCACCATCCATCCCACGGCTTGCACATGGACCCATCTTCTTGCTCCACCTCAGCGTGGGCACGTTCTCTCCTTTGGCTACCACTCCGTCAACAGTCTCGTCGATCGGCTATCCCCCCCCCCCCCCCCCCATCTCGCGATGTGTCCTGCCCAAGCCCATTTTTATTTACTGCCAACATAGCGACTTTCGTTTGCGGTTGTTGCCCGATCCATGCATGGCTTTTTGTTTTGCTATTTTGTCTCATCCGACGTATTGCCTTACCGCACCCGAGTGCGAGATGTTGTCGCATGTGAGCAGCAAGCCCTGTCGTGTGCGATGGGGGGTGGTGGTTTGAGGGAGCTGATCCACCGCAGCCCCTAACCCTCTCACCATTTCTTGTTGAAGGCTCAATTCCCCGTGGAACTTCTTAAGAGTCACGTAAAAGGAAGAAAAAAAGTGTCCAATTAAACGATTGGCAAGCCAGCCTTTTCTAACACAAGGGGCGAGTGCTTGAGCAGCGTGCACGACAGACACGAGCAGATCATGCCGTTTGCCTCATTCAGTTTTGCGTTCAACATTGACTGCGTTACATTTTGACTTAAAACTTTCGTGACTGCAGGAATTCAATTCTTTGATTCTTTCGGTAAAGTCACGTAGATATAAAATAAAAAAATTAAGACCGCTTGTGTTGCGATCGAAACGTCGTGGGTTTTTTTGCTTTTTATTTTATTTTTTAAAAATGTTATTTTTATTTTCTATCTACGTGACTTCACCGAAAGTTGACTGCAGTTGTTGCGTTGTGCCCCCCTCCACCCCACCCCCCTCTAACCGAGTGCGCACTGCGGTGCCTACCGCTGTTGAGTCGCGCCGCGTGGGCCCCACTCGCCGCCCCCATGGCGGGGTCGTGACCTCGCGACCCGCTGGGGCTCGGCCCGCCGCGCCTCACCTTGCGACGTGGTGGTGCTCGACGCGGCAACTCGCTCGGGGGCCGCGTCCGACGTCGATCTCGAGCGCCCCCCGGGCCCCCCGGAGCTGCCCTGCTGGTCGCTCAGCACGCCCGGGTGTCTCCATGGTTACCGGCATCACTCGGGCACCCCTGGGGGGGGGGGGGGGGGGCAAAGGAAGCCACCTTGTCTGGCATGGAGCGGTTCCGAGACATCATCACCCAGCATGACTTGAAACGTTCGTGACTGCAGGGATTCATATTCTTTGGTTCTTTCGGTAACGTCACGTAGATAGAAAAATGATAATAAAAAATAAAGTGAAATAAAAACGAACTTAATAACCAGGCTAAAGTCCACATTATCGATTGCCAGTACACTAACTCCGATTAAGAACCAGGCTACAGTCTACATTAGTGTGGGTTTTTTTCACTTTATTTTTTATTATTATTTTTCTATCTACGTGACTTTACCGAAACAACCAAAGAATATCACCCAGCATCTCGCTTACTCGTCCTCCATTACTGATCTTCTCAAAGAGTCGCCTCCTCGTCGCCCACCTCCTCCACTATCGACCTCCTCCACCGTTCAACTCATATGGCTCACTTAACCTCCTCCAGAAGTTACTCGCCTCCCCGTGAACTCACCTCCTCTGCTGACAGTCAACTCATAAAGGACTCGCTCACCTCCCCAATAGCTTACTCACCTCCTCCATCATTTATGAGCACTTTTTGTAAAACTTTTTCCATGATCTTCAGCGATCACTACCAAATTGTTCAAAAATTTTGAACCACCGTTGAAATTTTTTTTCTGAATCTAAAACTCATCGTAAAAAAATGACTTCCAGAACAAAAATGACATAGGGCAAAAAAACACGCGAATTATGTTACGAACATTATAATCGTTCCTTTCCCATTCATTACACCAACACACTCGGCACTGTTGATTCTGTTGTCCCGTGAGACAACGACTGGACGGCACTTTCCGCGTCTCTGGTCCACGAGTTGCTTGTGTGAGAGATATTGCGTGTGTGTGTGTGTCGTGTAGCGCGCTACGAACCCGGCGATCCGAGTTCAATTCCCACTCATGGCCAACACCAGTGATCATTAATTAACTGAACCGGTCCTGGGCCTCCCCTAGGTCGACTCAGCATCAAATGAGTACCTGGTGCGGTGTGTTAACATCGCCACTGGACAAAGGCGGCCAGGCGTGGTGTTGGCCACCCACCCGTTCATGTGCCGTGCCGGCCTTCATAGGTGCTCGCTAACAGCAATTGCCCCAACAGCCTGTTAAGGCTACACGGGGGACCTTTATCTTTGACGTTGGAGCTTATTGCGTGTGTGCGGCAGGAGGCCCGAATTCACTCACAATGCCATCCACGTCTCTGCACCTCCCTCCCTCCCTCCTATCCTCCCCCAACCCTTCCCACTGTTTGCGCCCAAGTTGGGCCATTATGTCCCGTGCTTTGTCCCGCCAGGGTGAGTACACACGTGCATCGCGCCAGTAATCCTCCTGCGTGCATTGTTACAGGCCAAATAAACTACGGACCTTTCTGCGAGGCTGCAAAAACCCTCACCTAAAGTCTTAAATTAGCTGTGCCTTTGGCTTGTTTACAAAAGGCACTGAATCTGCCCGGAGGCTTAAAATGCATCAAATTGCCCACGGAATTGTGTCATCGTGAGAGATAAAACACAGTTTGGCTATTGGTTAAAATGGAACTGAACTCTTTAGGAAGACCCAGTGTTTTCCCCAATTGAATGGAAAAAAAACCTCCTTTATCATCGATAAAATGAGCAGTAGCCAATATTTTAGGCGATTACCCTATTTTTAGAGCATAGGAGGGCAGAACAACATTTGACGTTTGAACTATTCCTGTCCTTGCTCCCCCACCTTATTTTTACCAACCATTGTTGACCATTGTATGACTAATATGGCATGGGGGAGAGCAATCAAGCAGCAGTGGTAAGACACAGGGGATGCATTATGTATTTATTTACATCATAGTTTATGATAATGAGAGACTGGTAGCTTTCATCAGAATGTTTGATAAGTAGTCGGTCATGTAAGGCGCTTGTTTTACAGTGAGAGTGGAGCTCACGGTGAGCACATTCACACCACGTGTTGCCTCATCACCCAAACGGACCTACCTCTCCACAATCATTCCCACTCTGTAAAAAGATCAACAGAATTGCATTGCAAAGAAATATATCCCCTCCACTCACCTCCTGATTAAAAACAAAGAAACCCCCACCACCATCACCTGATAAATAATGCCACATCACCATATCTGGGAACAGATATAAATACGTGTAAATCGCAACCATACTACATATGTGCCTTTTAAGTGCAGCATTAAGAGCAACGACGGACCGAGTGGTCGACGCGCACGGCTGGGGAATGCGAAGCCGCCGGTAATATAATTGGCCGTAGTTTTGCAAACTCACTGCAGATGCCCCCCACACGCGACGCGAGCCAGGCCCGACGTGTAGCGGCTCTACGGCGGCTCCGCCGGCCGGGAAGGGAAGAGCTGAGGCAGCCGCCCAGAGAGGCCCCGGATCGCCGTGTCAGAGGTCGCACCCGCCGAGGTCACGGACCCACGGGAGCTGGGCTCGGGGGCAAAGCTGCGATTTTCGCCTTTCATCGTGTATAAAGCGTTCGTGCAAAAGGGGCCAGCGTTCATCGCAAGGAGGAATATTGCTACTGCACGGCGGCCCGATTTCAATGGTCCCTTGAGCGGTAACGAATTGAGGATCTTCCACAAAGTGAGGTTTATTACCAAGGCCTCGTGCGCCTACAAAAAGTTCCCTGCCGGGGGCAACTCGAAGTGACCATGAAAGAAAGATGAAACGTTTAGAACATTTTCTGATTGTCTTCATGCTTCTGTATATCTATCAGCTGAAATGTGCATCTGTCTGCCACCCAGGCACGCTCCTTGTCATAATCAAAAGAGTGTGCCGCTGTTAGGCGAGCTTGTTGCATTTTAACCGATGTTTAAATTAACGACATCTAATTTGTAATGTCCTTGAAGACACTTTCTCTACATAATTCATGCTGTAAGTCCTGCCCACGCTAATTGCCTTGAAAGCAGCTTGAAGTTTTGGGAGTTCACATCAAGAAAAGAAAACTGTTTTGATGATATTGGTGAGACCAGGCCGCTGGAGATTACATTGGCAGGACACTAGTAATAAAGAGATCCCAATTGTTTATACTCTAAAAGTATTATGACTTCAAAATAAGGCATCATATCAGAAAGCCGACCCAATGCTTTTTCTTTTCATCCAAGGTTTTGGCCGTGTGACCAAACCATTAGTCAAGTGCACACTTACCGCCCTTAACAAACGTACAAGCATTGGCGTCATTCCTGCATTGCAGCAGTGTACACGCACATTTCCTGTCCATAAATCTGTTATTAAGTTGTACAGCATTAATCATGCAAACATTGCCTGCTGAAAAACCAGACGCGTCTGCTCCAGCTGATTCGAAGTCTCCCAAATGAATCTCCCACAGGCTGAACTTTGCGAGGAGGGAAAAGTGCCAAATCGACCCCAGGACCTCCTGATCACAAACCTTCAGTTGCTGTCACAGCTTCGGTCCCAACGCGTTGCATCATCATCATCATCACCGTCATCAATGTATTTTATGACGTGCAATTTGCGTAACGTCTTTTAAGCAGAAATTACACCTCATCCAGATAAATATCTTTGCGCAGGTAAACTCACGGAAAGTGCTGCTCTGTAAAGACTTGAATTGTACATTCATGAAGCTATACAGGCAACGTGTTTGCATGCAGTGAAATAGGCATGATAGCGACAAACTGCGATGCTATTTTACATCTGCTCCAATTTTACGAGACCAAAGCTATTACCACTTTATGATTGTCGTGTGCCAACTCAGTTTGAACGAGATCAGGATATGTTATCTCACAGTTATCGATGTTCGAATTATCTGATGCAAGATATTTGCTGTGCGTATGTAGCTGCACGAATGAATTGCTGTTGGCGGCGTGAGACCACGGGGGATGGCGACGGCTTGGGGGGAGGCATTCGTCCAGCAGTGGATAGATAATGGCGAGCGATGATGTTACAGTCATTATTACAAGCCCTCGTGGCTGTGTTGCCCACGTGAACCCACCGAGTTGGCAGTGCTTACTCTCCTCGCTACCTCTACACGGCTCATTCCTCAGAGGCTCGCGTGAATTCATCAGCGACATCGGCACTCGACAGCATTGCTCACGGAACACTGCCTGGCCTATTCCGCGTAATAAGCCTGTCATGACTCCTGACCCCCCAAAAATGCCTTTGACCCTATTTTTAGGGATATTTCCACAAAGCATGGCACTGTTTTGTGGCATTCATTAGATGTTGTTATATGGCCTGCAGCCTGCCGATGTTTCAAGGTTTCTTTTTTTATAAAACGAAATCAACTTTTTCGAGCATTATTCTGCTACGATTACAACACGTGTCGGCAGCGATGTGTCCATTACTTCTGCGCACCTTGTCGCCATTTTATCGTGAAGCTCCCAGAAGATTTGTTTGTGGGTTGTGTCACGTGTTGTTTGGCACAATGTCCGACGGTGTCACTAAGCTCCAAGCACGTGGAACGAAACATCAGATATCATGTCAAACAACACACAATACAAACCGAAACACACATCTGAACGCGAGAATGTGTATATCTAACACCTACACGGCCAGCAATGTGGGCCCTAAGCCCCCATGGGCCATAAAATGGTCAGGTTTTCACAACAGATTACCATGCCCTGATCTTACCCTGGAGGCATAAAAGTCTTCTTGCTAATAGCCAGCCAAGGCCTTGTGAGAGGGAGCCTTTGATTAGAAAAGTCGGCGTGCTATGCATCGGACAGAATGATGAGGTGGGCTCCTTTTTAAGTTCACATTTTTGTTTTCACATTGGTTGAATTTTTCCCATCACGGTCAACTTAAAAACATCGCCACCCTGTGCAGTTGAATTCAGCGGGCATCTACGTGATCAGGTGAGCTTGCACAGACTCGAAAATATCGTGTTGCCAATGAAATCTTGGGTACAAACAAATGATTAATAAAAATGCTCCAATGCCTGAAAGATGGACAACCACCGTGGACAAGCGCCATCTCCTGCAGAGCGGCCGGCATGTGGCTCTCA